GAGTTATGAATGTATAGTTATTAACATATAGTAATAAAATTATGAACATATAGTTCTATAACAAAGTGATCTGAAATTTAAAAAAAAAAAAAAAAAAAAAAAAAAAAAAAAAAAAAAAAAAAAGAGATAACAGTGCCTAACGGCACTGTTACCCGTGTCCTGTTACCCGTGTCCAGCAAGCATGCTGGACACGGGTCCAAGGCATAACGATTGGTAAAGCTAATAGTAGTCAAATAAGTCAAAATCATAAACTACCAAATGGGGCCTATATATAAATTTGGAATTTAATTTTAGGCTAAAGCCCAGAGCCTAAGCCCTAAAGCTTAAAACAATATCGTTATGTTGTGTAACCGTGTGCACCATGCAAGGTGCACACAGAATTGGATTTCATAATTTTTATACTATAAATTTATAATTTATATACTATAGATTCATAATTTCTATACTGTAAATTCATAAAATCTATACTGTAGATTCATAATTTCTAAACCGTAGATTCATAATTTAAATAAGTAGATTCATAATTTCTATACTGTAGATTCATAATATATGTATTGTAGATTCATAATTTCTAAACTGTACAGTTATCAAATTATGAACATATAATTATGTGATTTATGAATACAGAGTTCAACAATTAGAAATATAAACATCGAAAATTATTAACATAAAGTTATATAATTGTGAATATAGAGTTCAATAATTATGAATACAAAATTTAAAATTATGAATATATAACTTTATAATTATGAACATATAGTTCAATAATTATCAATATAAAACAGTATGCACCATACATGGTGCACACGGTTGCATGGCATAATTTGCCCTTAAAGCCTAAAGCCGAAATTCGAAAGCTTAAAGATTGCAACTTATAAGAAACAGCAATTGTAGAAATTTCAATGGTATTGGACCCACCCATCCACAGTACGTCACAGTTGCAAGTGATGGATGTTCTCTGATGAACTTCTTCTTCTATTTTACCCGTTTCGATAGACTAATTCTAAATCTCCAAAATTAAATAGTTGATCTAAGGGCTTTCCTTAACTTGAACCAAAAATGGGAATAGGAAAATGAACACAAGTTGTTCCAAGCTTTCACAATTGACAAGTATCATTATAATAGATTATCGTCACGAATAATGTGTCAAGATAATCGTAGCTCTCGTGATTTGTGTTACATATAACCTTTAATTAAATGGACCTTAATGACGAAAGAAACTCACAACTAACAAGCTCAACCGAGAAGGTGCAAGAACTTAACCCGTAACTTTCTTGTATAATTAAGAATTATGTTTCACCAATTCGTCCATTCATTTTAAGGCTATTTAATTTCATTTTTTATTTTGACATTGAAATCATTTGTTATATATTTTGTCCCATTCTCATGAAATTTGAATGTAAAAAGTAAATTACTATCCCCTTAATTATAGTTCATTAACTTGATTAAAATCCAAATGAAGTATATGAGTTAAAAGAGGAATTTTAATCAAGTTAATGAACTATAGGAAATAATGAAAAAGCAAAGAATCAAATGAAAAAAAGCCGTCTAACTCCATAGATCAACCACCAATGTGGTACAACTCAAGGCAACAAAACTTATCATATATCACCCCTATTAGGGTATTACACAACTGTTTACACCAATGTACCAATCAACCCATCACAAGAACACCACGAGACACATTAGCCTAAACAAAATCAATACAAACTGGCAAAAAAACCAAAGGTATACAAGCCCTAATAGAGACAATTGGTACATAGATTATGACAAATCCAACACACTTCCTAACAATAATAGAAAGCACACAAGCCCTAACAAAAGGCCGCAATAAGCATTCCCAAATTAATATACTGTCAAACATTTTTAAATGCAATATCAATATCAATTCAATCATTTCCAAACACTGATACAATATCAAGCCAAGACCCTAACTCCACCACAAAAGCTAATTCATGAATGAAGATTTGGTCCCAACTTAAGTACCACTCTACAATTTCTTGTGGAGCCGATGTGGATCGTATCATTGCTTACGGCCGACGTCAGCGGCGGCTTACTCTAGACGGCTCACACTCCAGACTCTTCTCTGTTGGATATATCATTCGTAAAACCCAATAATAATCCTACAAAATAAGGATTATTATTTTATCAGAAATTTTGGGAAGGATGATCGGTGAGAAGGACGAAAGGATACCGAGGGAAGGTGTTTTAGTATGAGTCGAGCGAAACACTCTTTCCTTAAAACCTTATTTGCTACCTCCCACAAGTGTTAGGAGCGTTGCAGCCTAGGTTTCCCAGGATAAAACGTAGTACGATTCAATTGTTTGAGCACCCAAACAATGAACCCGGCGAACTAGAGCAAAGTTTAGAACACAATTGGTAAAGAATGAAGGGAGTAGAAGTAGAGTTTTCGGAGCTGAAAAACGTAGTGAAATTCCTATTTTTCCTTGTGTAAAATGCTTCTTCTCTACCTCTTCTTTTATAGGGCGTTGGGATTAAATAGCATTTACTATGACATTTAAAACTGATTTAAAATCAGCTTGTAACACCTGAAACAACAGCCCACTACCTGAAATTAAATTCAAATTCAAAAATTGGAATTAATAGAGAATTAATTCCGTAACTGTTGAATTTAATCTCACAATGTTCTGGTTGCAGAAAGGGGCCGAACCCACGCTGTAACCCCTGGAATTAATAGAGAATTAATTTCGCAACTGTTGAATTTAATGTGTCTCTGTGTTGGAAAAAAAATTTGGCATAACTTAACCCGCCCGTGCCAATTTCCGGACGACATTCCCGTGCCCGCGTACACGAGTTCAAGCCTGAATCAATAAGCAAGCACCCATACGCGCGAAAGAGAGCCTTAATTCAAGACGACTCTGGATTCTTCTCGGCACCAGGTAGCCCTTTTCCCCTTTGGATGGGTTCACTTCGGACCTTATGGTATCAAGCCAAGACCCTAACTCCACCACAAAAGCTAACTCATGAGTGGAGGTTGGCCCCAACTTAAGTACCACTCCACACTCTCTTGTGTAGCCGATGTGGGAACGTATCACTCCTCTTCTGTGGAGTTGTGTTCTTACTCGAAATAGAACAATCCGATATAGTCGGGGCAATTGTATCAAACACACAATCGTAATTACAAATAATTATAAAAATTTCATCATGTTTTTTCTTATTTTCATTGATTTTTAGCTGTTAATCTTCCTAGATAGGGATGACCATGGTTCAGTTTGAACCATCCAGTTTGAACTGAACCGTGTACTAGGAACCGAATCGGAACCCAACGATTTCAGTTCTAGTTTCGAATTCAAACCGTACAAAAAAAAGAAAAAAAAAATTAAAGTTTAACTATTATTTGATTAAAGTTTAACTATAACAATTATTTTTAATTTTTTAGTTTAACTTTAAAGTTTAAATATTTTTAGATTAACTTTAAAGTTTAAATATTTTAATTTTTTAGTTTAACTATTATTTGATTAAGGTTTAACTATAACAATTAGAATAAACAATTTCCAAAAAAAATAGTAATTGTTGAATTTGGACTATTTTAAGAATTAAAAAAAATGAAAAACAAAAAACATCAGTTAAAACCACTACTTTCCTAGAAGGTTTCGGTTTGCGGTTCTCCATTTATAGAAACCAAAAATCATCGGTTCAAAAATCAAATCGAACCGTGATCACCCTTATCCCTAGATGGTAAACCATATTTGTCTGTATGTTCACACCTAGGATGATATCCACATGTTAATTTAATATTAGATTATTATATATTTAATTTTTATTTAATATATTTTTATATTTACAAATTAAACCAAGTATATATATCAAATCAAATCCTTATAAAACATATAACATGTATATTAAAAGTTTATTTAAAACCTACAACAAAACCTTTTAAATAGCCTACATATTAAATAGACTTAGGTTAGGACTATTGACTATTGTAGACTTTGGCTTGAGCTTTAAAAGAACTTATAGTCAATTTTGTGTTGTTTTTTAATAATAGATTTAAATATTATTATTAAAAAAGTATTATTATTATTATTTTTAAAATGAGTTGGAGTAATAAGGATGTAGAAAAAAATAGTGAATTGCAAATGAATAATACTATATAGACCAAAAAAATTTACCAAAATATTTCACTAGCAATTTGATGTGGCAAACAAAACTGTTTTTATTCATTAGTTATCATGAATTGAAAGAATATATTTATATTGTCACAATCAAATGCTGAAATATTTTTGTCCGTGTAACATAATTCAATATGTTAATATTTTTTTATTTAATATGAATATGATTTGCTTTATGTTAATATGAATATGAATTGCTTTTGAAAATGGAAAAAAAAAAAATGCTGGGTAAAAATAGGCTTAGAAGCAAGATCAGGTTCCCAGCTGGATTACTGTCCCGACATTGATCATTCTTGGTTACCAACCTTGAGAGAAAACCATCAAAAATTTCATATGTTATAAATCTGTACTTTACATCAAGGAGGTATAATCACCATACCAATCTCAGTGGTTTATCAATGTTGCTGTCCTGTCTCATATAAATGCCACAATTAAAAATTATAACCACATTCGGCGGTAAACCCGTATCATACATCATACTCAAACTAATCCCATTCGCACTGTGCCAGTCTAATTAAAGGGCAAAGAACCAATCTAATTAAGGGGCAAAGTGCTGACTTGACCCTTACCAACCACCGCCCAACATTATGTGAATCAAGATTCTGTTTTATCAATAGGGCAAATCCATGGAACTTTATATGTTCAATTCCATAGACCCTAGTCCATACCCACTGCTTCCATTGCCATTAGCCAGTATCCCACATTCCCACCTTCACCTAATGTTTGAATAGCAGTTAGTTCACACAAGTCTATAAGACACTATCAGAAATTCACTCTGTGGCAAGAATTCTACTTGAAAGTATATAAATGCACAAGCAGCAGAGCAAACCATCAAACAGAGTAAACAGCAGATGAAAGAAGTTTGGATAGAGAAAATGCTAGTTGCCTTCATTCATTTTGGGCTAATACAAGCCAGCCAGCCAGCCATTTCATCCTGTACACATTACTTCTATGTTCCTAAACACTATGATTTTTTATAAACAAACAAAATAATTTGTCCCAACTACTTACTGACCATACCTATAGGAACTCTTCTGCAAGTTCCTCACTAACATCCTACTCTGCCATAGCTAACAAAAAACCCATCTCAGTTACCTACCTCCAGTTACTCCCTAAATTTGGTCACTCTTTACAAATACTACACCTTTTTTAAAAGCCTCCATGCATAGAACTGCTTCAATTCTTCACCTTCCATACCAAATCTGCAAATCACATAACTCAGAACAGAATGAAAGCCTCCATAAACCCTGTCTGCCCTAAACCCATCAAGAATCACATTTTAGAGGTCTCTTGCAACTGTACACTATCCTCATCAGAGTCACTCCCACAAGAGCTTCCTGAATCTGAATCTGCAGATTAACCCAACACCCGGCAAGTGTCAAGCAAAATATGCTATTAACTTTAGGACAATGGTTGCATATTAGGGCCTTACCACTGGAAGAAGAGTCACTGCTGGAGCTTGAGCTGCTGGATCTACTCACATCCTTCTCAATCTTCACTGGGGAGAAGTTATTGATTGGACTTTCTTCCCCAATATCAACATCCTCTTCGTCAGCTTCATCTTTCTTGTCTGTATGTTCCACAGGGTTTGGTGTAGCCACATTTCCTGGGAACTAAATAGCAAAAACAAAACCATAATTAGCCAAACTAGCAACAAAAATGTCAAGTTAATCAACCCTCGTAAACAACTGCATCTCTTACATTGCTGACATTCTCTCCTAGAGCTTCTGCAATGATATTCTCTTGGGAAGCACCTGGAATGAGGCCTTGCCTCATCATCTTGCTTAAAGCCTTTTTCTGATAGCCCACAAACCTATCCAGTTCCCATAGTGTTTCATTGTCAAGTGCCTCAATGTCAAGTTCAATCTCATCACCCTCAGTTGACACAGAAGAATTTCTCCTCCTTAAGATTTGCATCATGTGCTCCATTTTATCCTGCGGCAGATTCTGCAGGTCGATCCCCAACCTTGCCTTCTCCTCAAAAGTCATCTGTCTTTTATTTGGATCCTTAGCCTTGGGCTTTGGCAATTTACCCGACCTTGTAGGCACCAATGGCTGCAGAGAAGGCTTTTCTGCAGGCACAAAAACAGGTGCGTTTGGAACGGGAAGAGAATTTGACAAAGTAGACAGATGCTGGGGAGGATCTAATGAAGTCGACAGTAAGCTTCCCATGTCCGAACTTTTGGCAATGAGCATTGGCTCAGGTGATCTTGAAGCCACAATTCGCTCTGGCTGAGGCCTAACATTCTTTTGAGCTGCAACAGCCTTCTTATGCTCAGCTTCATACTTCCGATAAGCTGCTGTGAACATATCATCAAAATTCTTGAGCAAAAGTTCAGCCATGGCATGCACATCCTGACCCTTGGGATTATAGATCATGGCGTTCTTGAATGTCAGTCTAACATCACCAGCAAATTGTAAGGGCGTTTCGTATTGACAACTATCCAGCCGGGATTTCACAGTTCCGAGATCCATCGGGTGCTTAATGATCACATGATAGTCATGAAGCCCCAAACCCTTAGTATCAACAGGTGAGTTGAACACCCACCCAAACTTGTGCTTCATTAGCTTTGTTAAGATCTGCGCGCACCTCCTCATCATACTTACCGCAGCCCCATCTAATTTAGCTTCTTTCCGCTTATGATCTCCTTCTGCGGCGTCTGGAAATGCTCTCTTTTTACCAGGGGGCTTGCTTTTACCCTTGTTCTTCGCACCAGAAACCCCAGAACTCTGAAAATGATGCCCCAAACCATTTGGTGCTTGATTCTCGGGAAGAATCTCCACTCCGGGCTGATTCACTTGAAGTCGCGGCGGTTGCGGCAGTTGCGGCAGTTTCGGTGGAGATGGGGGCTCTGGAGCTTCTCCCCGCTGCAAACCATGGAATGAAGCTCTCGTTTCGAACTCAATGGTCTCCAGCTTCTTCAAAACGCCCTGGACCCGTTCCAGATCGAAGATCAAGCGTTGTTTAAGCTCCTTAATCTCCCGTCTAGAGTAGGAACCCAGATTAAAGGTCACATACTCTCTATGGAAGGAGCCATTGCGATCAATCAAACCTTCCGGCAGCGGCGGTACGGACCTCTGTGACTGATGATTAAAGTGCCGGCGCTGAGGTTTGGTTGAACCTTCATGGATCCGTTTGGCGGCAACGTCGAAATTGCTACCACCAGCCCTAATGCTAGGGTTAAATGAACAATGGCTAGGGTTAGGGTTAGGGTTGATTCGGCCATAAAAATGAGGGTTATTGGTGGTGGAATTTGGGTTGAATTCACTCATACATAACTTCCGTTCACTCCAATGTGGTTCATTCCTGCTAGCCAAAACAGCCGATGCCATAGAAGAAACAGAGCAGACTAGCAACGGCGTTTCGGAATGCCAGAGATTCCGGCGTCTACGTCTTAATCTCGGACAGAACTCCGTCGAATGTCATGATGAAATCGCCGGAAAACTCAACCACCACCATGGAGAAATCTCTGAAATAAATTGAAAATAAAATTTTAAAAAAATGATTGAAAATTAAGGGGCGAGGGTTTCGAAGAACCTCTTTCACCTCGCCAGAGCAGTGAGCGAGGAAACGAAAGTGATTAATCTGCTATTTAAAGGCAACAAGGATCTGCCCGCTCTTTGCTCCAGGCAGTTTTTTAGACGTAGATTTTGAATCCGACGGTCATACATGCTTTTCCTGGCTGCCCGATGTGCTGACCGTGCCATCTGTAACGGACGGATAAGATCCAGCCTAAGGTACACGTGGGAAGCGATCGGGTCCCTGAAAAGGAGGGAAAATTTTGGGGAAGTCTGGATTTGGAGGGCAAAACTTTTCCCGAAAATCGAGTCCGTACTGGCGAATGAATGGGGTCGGCTGACGCAGACGAGTGGGGCCCACTTTTTCCTTTACATACCACACTTTTATTTTTATTTTCTCTGCGTTTTTAAATAATAATAATAATGATAATAAAATTATAACTCTAAATATCAAGGCGTTTGGTTGGATAGGGGGAATTACGTGAGAAAGGAATCGCAATTTCACGAAAGATGAATTTCTGGGAATAAAGTAGGAATTTAAATTTCAGTATTTGATTTACAGAAATAGAATTACTGGGAATTTCAATTTCAATGTTTGGTATACATGGGAATTGAAAGGGAATAAGTAGTATAAAGTCAAAAATGTTCATGGTTGTTGTTAGGCATTAATTTTAGGTTAAAAAAAGAATGGGTAATTTTAACTCATCACTATCTTTTTTTTCTTCCTAAAATCTCAAGAATTAAAATCCCAGGGGACATGGGATTTTAATTCCTTGAAAATGAGTGAATTGCAATTCCTTTCAACCAAACAATAAAATTTTGTGATCTTTGAAATTAGGTGGGAATTAAGTGGGAAGAAAATTTAAATTCCCTTCAACCAAACGCCTTCTAAATTCTATAAAACAACGCCTTCTAAATTCTATAAAACCGGATATTCTCCCCCTTTTCCCCCAAAAAAATAAGTTCTATGAAACTCACTCTTGAAATGTTAACAAATTTTCAATGTGAAAATAGTTAATAAAAAACATAATTTAATTAACATCTTTGTTTATTATAAATACATAGATACTACCTATTAATCCACAAAATCAATTTTTTTTACACAATCATTGCATTAGTTCATTTAGCAACAATAGAACAATTATAATTTCCCACTTTAATTAAGAAGCTTACAACACACTTTCCCTAAGAATTAAGGTTCTTAGCACTAGATATATTCAACTACTCCTGCGTATTTGTGAACTAGTGACATAAAACCCCACTTACACAATGGCTCTGTTTGGCAAACCTAGCTGAAAAGCTATAAGCTAGGAGCTGAACGCTGAAAAGGAGCTGAAAGCTGAAAAGCTATAAGCTCGGAGCTGAAAATTGAAGAGCTGTTAAGCTAGCTATTATGATTGAAAGTGTTTGGTAAAATTAGCTTTTTGATAAACTGATAAATGTAAAAAGACTAAAAAATACATCTTCATAAAATTTAAATTAGTTTGTTTAAATATTAAAATTTAACATTTTGTCTTTTAAAAAAATTAACATTTTGAAATAAAACTATTAGCATAATCATGATCTAGCATCTCATTATGAAGTAGCAATATTGTTGCAAATCTCATAATAATAATAATAATAATAATAATAATAATAATAATAATAATAATAATAATAATATTATTATTATTATTATTATTATTATTATTATTATTATTATTATTTGCGGTGAAAGTTGCGGATAAAGGTGAAGAGAAAAGGGTTTTAATTGAGAAGGGTAAATTATGTCATTTCTTTAAAATAATAAGGATAAAGATGGAAAAAAAAAAGTTAGGAAGCTAAGAGCTTATTTTGAAACGAGGTAGCGTTCCAAAATAAGTTTTTATTTTAAGCTAGGAGCTTATTTTGTAAACATTACAAACAGAGCTTATAGCTTATTAGTAGCTTAAAATAAGCTATAGACTTCATTTTGTAAACATTACCAAGTAACTTAAAATAAAAAATTCTCAACCTACTGAAACAAATAAGCTATAGACTTCATTTTGTAAACATTACCAAGTAACTTAAAATAAAAAATTCTCAACCTACTGAAACACAAAGAACCAATAACGCCTTCACTAAGGTTTGAACTCACAACCTTCCAGATAGAAGTTTAACCCAGGTACCTTTAGACCACATAGTCTTAGTCATTAGGGTGTTTGATAAATAGCTATTAGCTTATGTAAATCATATTTTCAATATATATATATATATATATATATATATATATATATATATATATATATATATATATATATATATATATATATTGTGTTTATTTTTCTCCAATATAAAAATTCTTTACATTCAAATTCATCAATTGATTATATTCGCTACATTGTCCCTACAATATCTTTATTAAAAAAAATTATTCATTATCAATAAATTAATTAAGAGAAATAATTTTATTAGTTATATTGTCTTTATATTTCTCCAATGTAAAAATTCTTTACATTCAAATTCATCAATTTGTTATATTCACTACATTGTCTATTATTTTTTTTGTGCACTATTTTTTAATTAAAAATAGTTATTAAAAAAATAATGCTATATATTTATGGAATAATGGTCAAATAGGCCATTGAACTGGACACAATAATTCAATTAGGTCACTGAATCTAAAAAACCAACAATTGGGTCCCTAAACTAACAAATTTCAAATAATTCTTCCAATTTGAAGGTTTCTAACAGGTCAACAGGTCATCCTTCTAAATTAATTATTTTTTTAAAATTAAATTTTAAAAATTAATTATTTAAACTAGTGAGACGGCCATGGAGACGAAGAAACCGGTAGGAGACGGTCGTCTCCGGGCGAAGTCCTGTTTTTTTTTTTAATTTAATTTAAAAATAATTAATTTTTAAAATTTATTTTTTTAAAACAATTAATTTAGGAGGTTGACCTGTTGGAAACCTTCAAATTGGAATAATCGTTTGAAATTGGTTAGTTTAGGGATCCAATTGTTGATTTTTTTGGTTCAATGGCCTAATTGCATTATCTTGTGCAGTTCGATGGTCTATTTGACCCTTATTCCTATATTTATTTACCAAGTATTTTATTAATACCATGAAAAAAATTAAAAAAATATAATTAATAAATCCAATTATATTAACTACTTGAGAGATTTGTAGACAAAGAGAGTTTTCAAATTACACAACAAATTACCAAGACTATGTGGTCTAATGGTACCCGGGTTGGACTGAAAGTATATGAAGAGATACTATCATACTACATTGTAATAGAAAAATCAGCAGTGCAAATTACATGACCTAAGGGGTGCATATATTTAATAATAATAATTGTTTTAAAAAAATAAACAAATAGAAAAATATAATTAAGTCAATCATATTAACTACTTCGGGATTTATTGACAAAATGAGTATTCAAATCACACAACAAATTGAAGGGGGAAACTATCTCGCAATGTCCTTGTTTGGCAATCAGCAGTTAGCTCTTCAATATTAGTATATATTTAATATTTTATGCCCTAATTTTTATTTGTTCTCCCTTATGTCCTGTATTTGGTTTCAACTATACCTATACAATTATTTTATTGACAATTATAATCAATCTTGACTATATTGTCTTGCATTTGTAAACTTAGAATTGTCTATTTAAATACGAAAATTTAACATTCAATTATCTATGCATGAACAATTCCAATATAATTTTGCCTTGATATACTTTAAAGTACTTATTTAAAAAAAAAATATTGGGCATTATCCCAATCGCACAATGCGCGCAAAAGACTAGTAATTTAATAAGAGTAATAAAGTGGCGTACATACTTTTCATCAACAATAATGAAATCATTGATTTTTTAAAATTTACATTCATTGTTGAGACAAATTATTTTGAGAGTTTGTCAATGACAATTATTACGATTCCTGTCAAGAGATGATGGAAATAAATAATTCAAAATATATAGTTACAATAGATATTGTTATAATGATATAGTAAAAATTAACTTACAAATTTCTTTAGAAGTTTTCATGCATTGATAAAATTCTGATATGTAAACTTGTTCAATTGGAGCTAGTGGGATGTCAACATTGTCAATTCGTTAAAAAATGGTCCTACCGTTTTAGAGTCCAGGTGTATTTGTCAACTTTGTAGTTAGGTCGCGCAGGCCTGACAATGATGTAAGAACAATTTTGTCCGATAAAAAAAATAATATAATATTTGTAAAGTAATGTACAATTGTACTTGTTGGTTTTAAGATTTTTAAAGGTAACCACACGGTGGTCCAACATCACCGAAAAACAAGTAATAAATGAATAATGTAGAGGAATAATAAAGGAGACACAATATTTTTAACGTGGAAATCGAAAGGTGAAAACTACAGGCCTTTTTGGGCGGTACCAAGCCAAATTCTACTATTTTCCACTATATTTTGTAAGTAGCAAGTACATGCATGTACAATTTGTGTTCTCGTAGAGAGAAGTAAAGAGAAAAGTCATTAGATGTAAATGTAGAGATATGTATATGGCGTGTGGAGAGACGTAGGGAGGTGTAGATGGCTTAGGTCAAGATGACTAGGGTAAAACCGACCTCCATTGATTGAACTCCCTTTTTGTATTTATAGAAGAATAAATACAAGACATATGGTAAGGTGGTATGTTTATGGTAATTGGGTATTTATGGTAGAGTGGATATATAGTGGAAAGTAGAAGAATTTAGGGAGTATAAATGGGTTTAGGGAATCTGGAGATATTTAGGTAATGAGATGTGATATATGGCTGGAAATAATAATTAGGAAGGTAATTTATGAGGGTTGACTTGCATAATCTCGGGATTACCATATAATAATTTCTTCCACCGTCAAAGATGATTGGCGACTAGGGATGACTGACCACTAGGGATGACTGGTTACTATGAATGAATGGTTCTCGGGAATGCCCGCTCGCCAGGGATGACTAGTTACCTGGATGACCGCCCACCAAGGATGACTAGTTGCCAGGGATGTCCGCCCACCCCGGATGGCTGGTTATCGGGGATGACCGCCCACCAGGGATGGCTGCTTGCCGGGGATGACCGCCCACCAGGGATGACTAGTTAACTGGAATGACCGCCTTCCAAGAATGACTGGTTGCCAAGACTAGCTGGCCATGATCCAAGTGCTAAGTCCGACTGGGTACCCATACTGGGTATCCCAACAGTACCATTATTATAAAAATACATACACAAAATATTAATATTATAACGACCTAAATCATACCAATAATGAAAAAGTACAATTGAAATATTAAGTTTTGTTCTGATCTAAAT